AAGGGTAAAAAATTTATCACCAAGGAAAAGAAAATTGTATGATATTAATAAAAAGCAATCACAAAACATAAATTTATTGAGACGTTCATTGTTTAAATCAAAATATAAGGTAAATTTGTTAAAAAAATTTAAATTCACAAGTACATACAAAAATTTAAAAACTAAATTAGATCCGGCAGGTTTTCAACTGGTTAATGATATAATTAGTAATCTTAAAAATAAGCGGCCCAATTGGTCAACAAAAAACAAAATTTTTGCACTAGCTCTCTATAATAAAGGACCTAAATGTTATAATTTTTTAAGAAGATGTCTCCCTTTGCCTTCAAAATACACTTTAAAAAAAATACTATATGATCTTGACTTTGAAACTGGGATTAATAAACACATTTTTACAAGATTAGCAAAAAGGGTATCAAATATGAGTAAGTTAGATAGATGTTCTATAGTTATGTTTGATGAAATAGCTTTATCAGAACAATTAGTTCTAAATACAAAATCTGATAAAGTAATTGGTTATGTAGACCAGGGAACAGATTTGGGAAGAAAGAATCAGTTAGCCAACCATGCTTTGGTATTTATGGTTCAAGGTATTAAAACATCTTGGAAACAACCAGTGGCCTCCTACTTCACAAAGGGAACTGTTAAAACAAACTGTCTAATGTCTCTAATTCACGAAATTATAAGTGCTCTACAATCAATAGGATTAATAGTGTTGGCCACTGTTTGTGACCAAGGTTCCACCAATCGTGCTGCAATAAGAAAGCTATCTCATGATCCAAATATAAAAAAACCTGGTCCCTTTTTTTTAGTTAATAATAATAAAATTTTCACTTTATTTGATCCTCCACATTTATTAAAAAATACACGTAATGCTTTTTTTAAATACACAATAAAATTTGATAACAATAAATATGCCAGATCAGAACACTTGAAAATGTGTTTTGCAATAGACAAAACAAGAAAATTTCAAACTTTGAGAAAAATTAGAGAAATATATTTAAATTTGTCAAACCAAAATAAATTAAAAATGAAGGTCAGTATTGCTGCCAAAACTATGAGTAATACTGTAGCTGCAGCAATAAACAGTATGATTGCTGGAAACCAGGGTTTACCAAGCGAAGCTATCTATACAGCAGAATTTATCTCAGATATTGATACCCTTTTTGATACTTTTAATGGAAAAACACCTTTACCCGAACTAGGAAAACCTTATAGAAGGTGCATGTCCAAAAAATCAAGACATCATGCATTTTGGAATAAAATGCTCTGCAAAATTCAAAGTTGGGAATTTGTAAATAAAGATACAGGTACTGTTAAAACTATGATGCCTTTTAAAAGCGGATGGATCACTACAATTAAGGCAGCAAAAGAGTTGTTTAAAACTTGCAACAGTATGGGTTTCAAATTTTTAAAAACTAGGTCATTAAACCAAGATGCCTTAGAAAATCATTTTTCCAGCATTCGCCTTTTTGGTGCAAATAACACCAATCCATCTTGTTTTCAATTCCAGTCTGCTCTAAAAACATCTATTTTGAATAATCTTATTTTGCCTAAATCAAGACTTACCAACTGTGAGCAGGATGGTTGTTCAATAATGGACAACCTTGAAACATTCTTTTCAGTATCTTTAAATATTCAGGATAATCAGGTTAATCAGAATTATAATATTGATTTGGAATATTTTGATTTTAATGAAGCAATATCTAATTTTGAATTAGATTCAGCTGCCTATGTTGCTGGGTATATTTTTAAAAAAATGAAAATAGAGTGTCAAGAGTGTAGGGCTAATTTATTGGCTGATGAAATTCAATCGTTGCATTCTTTTACTACTTTTAAGGAATATGATGTAACCAAAAAACGGTTAAATTATGTTACGGAAAATTTTTCAAAAGATTTAATTACTATATCTTCAATAATAAATCTAATTATGCCAAAATATGGATATATACTATATATTCAAAATCAAATCAAAATGATTATTCAGAATAAAAAATTATTTATCTGGTTCACATGTAGTGAACACAAGGAAACTGTGATATCAGACATATTAGATTTTTCTATTAAATTAATCATAAGAAAATACTGTGATGACATTAAACGACAAAATCTTAATAAAAGAAATAAATAGGTACATAAAATAATTTATTTGTTTCCTGTTGGGTGTTAGTTTTTTTGTTTTTATGTATAGGTATAATTTATTTTTGTTCCTGTTAGGTGTTAGCTTTTTCGTTTTATTTAAAAAAGATTTATTAAGAATAATTTATTTTTGTTCTTGTTAGGTGTTAGGTTTTTTCGTTTTTATATAAATAATTTATTTTTGTTGTTTATATTAGTATTTTGTTCCTGTGATTTGTTTGACATTAAGAAACTGTGATAACATTAAAACACGTTTTGTTAGAAAAAATAAATACTTGTATTATTTTATTTGTTTTGAAATATAATAAATGTTCTGAAATGTAATATGTATAGTTTTAGTTAATGAACAATTGTACTGTTTTTCAGCTATTTCAGTTAGCTCCAAAAGTTGAGAAATAAAATTTAAAGTGTGAAAAATAATTAGAATAGCCATTGAAACGTGTTAACCTGCTAACTCCACTTATAGGTTGTAATGCGTTTTTTATACTGTATTTAATATTTAAAAACGCATTATAAAGGATAAATTGAGTTAGCGGATTAACACGTTTACATTAATTAATTAATTAATTAATTAATGTAAACGTGTTAATCCGCTAACTCAATTTATCTTTTATAATGCGTTTTTTATATTAAATACAGTTTAAAAAACGCATTACAACCTATAAGTGGAGTTAGCAGGTTAACACGTTTCAATATATTATATTTAAATTTGCCGCCAATATATTATATTTAAATTTGCCGCCTTTCCCTGTGAAAGTTTTCCATTCCCTGAGTTGGATGTCGCCACTAACGCTTGGTCAACTGTTTACATGGTTTCAAAGTCTCTCTTTTTCTTTCTTACTCTATGAGCATAGCCAGCCATCTTTTTTACATGGTCGTTAACGACAGACAATTGTGAATTGTGAACCTAGATATCTAGGATTGTGAAATGATGTATTGTCAACCAGACGAAAGGTACGTAAAAAAAACGATTCCATCATAAGTTATATATGCCAACATGGTAGAATAGTTATATAAATTAAAAACAATAATTGTTTTACAAGTGTGAAGAGCGACTTTTTCATGCAAGTGTTCAGTTGCAATATTACGAGCTTAAAAATGCTTTTCTTAAATGTAAAACAATGTTTTTTCTACGACCCTTTTATTTTTTATCACAATTTTCCAATACAAATTTGCCTTAGCAAAACTGGAATATAAAAACTTTTTAGGTTATTTTGTTAAAATGAAAATATTTATTTTCTTAGCAACGGTGCCGTTTTCGAAGTGTGACTTTTACATAGTGGTCGTGGAAAATAGTACCTATATTATACTATGCTTTTTCTACTCCAATTAAGTAATTTTCATTAATTACAAACTTTATTATAACCTCACTTTCTCCCGAGTTTAATGAACATAAGAGTCGCCCCTCGTATATACAGGGTGTCCCGAAATTAGGGGACCAAACTTAAACAGTGCATACTTTATAGAAAAATAGCACCATTTTGTTTAATAAACATATATGAAAAAATGCCCCCTAACGGAGCTTCGTCCCCCTAAATAGGAGCTTAAGAGCATCATTTTTTTTTAAACTATTCCTAGAGGGTTGAATATGAAGACCTGAATTTTTGGTGCTTTAGTAATTTTGACATTCTGAATCTGGATCTAAAATCAAAACTGTTAAAATTTAATCAGGCTTAACATTTGGGGGGGGGGGGGAATTTACAAACAGCCCCAACTTTTTTCAGAGTGAGTATTTTAATGTTTTGTTAAAATTATGAAAATGTATAGTAGGGTGGGCCGAAAAAATTATTTTTTGAATTCAATTTAGGGGTAGCAAAAAAAATTTACCTTATGCCAAAAGTAGTTTGTAAAAAAAAAATTAGCGTACTAGCCCAATATTTAAGGCCCCCCCTGGGCGCCCAAAATATTATTTTTTTATATTTTTTTTGGGGTAGCAACAAAAAGTTACATTTTGTTAACAGTAATTCTAGAAAAAAAAATAGCGTACTAGCCCAATATTTAAGGCCCCCCTGGGGGCCCAAAATATTATTTTTTTATATTTTTTTTTGGGGTGGCAACAAAAAGTTACATTTTGTTAAAAGTAATTCTAGAAAAAAAATAGCGTACTAGCCCAATATTTAAGGCCCCCCTGGGGGCCCAAAATATTATTTTTTTATATTTTGTTTGGAGTAGCAACAAAAAGTTACATTTTGTTAACAGTAATTCTGGAAAAAAAATTGATTACTAGCCCAATATTTAAGGTTACCCCGGGGGCCCATTTTTTATATTTTAATTGGGGTAGTCACAAAAAGTTACCTTATGTTAACAATATGTCTAGAAAAAAAGTCCGATATTAAATTTGACGTCAAAAATTTGTCGGTTTAGCAAATTCTAGGGTTAAAAATGTTTATAAATTTGAACATGTTTTTCAAAATTTAATATATTATTGTTTTGCTAAGCTTAAAATAATCCATGATTATATTTTGGTGAAACCAAATTTTTACTTCAAAATTTTTTTTTCCGCTGTGGCATTGGGAATTATTTTATCAAAATGCTGTTTTGTTTTTAAAATGTCTGTTATCTTTGGCATTATATTATAATTCTGACAATTAAATGATAAATGTCAAAGTATTTCAAATGAAGGCCTTGAACAGGATTACCAAATTTAAATATTAAAAATACCAAAGTATATTGACATATGTGTCAAATTGCTTTTGTTTTATTTTAATTCTCTACTCTAGTGTCAGTCCTAGTCTAGGGTGTCAGTCGCGAATTATCTACAGAGTGCGTTCGGTGTATTAAAAGTGTTAATTAAAACATTAGCGTATAGTATAGGTACTTTGTTCTTTTTATGTTATATTTTACAAACTTAAGTGATGAAAAAAATGACAGTGCAGACTCGTACAAGTTCAAGTGCTCCTATTTTTGGTACAAAAAAAGACATTGATCCAGATAATGCCATAACGCTTCCTACTTATGAAGACGTTATTCGCTGTTTTCATAGCGTGAGATTAAAGCAAAAATATGATGGTATCAAGCAACCGTCTAAATTTAGTATCGCTGCAATCGTCGCTCAGAAGGTAGAAACTGTTTGGAAGCGTGCATCAATTCCTTTTTTGTCAAGAAAACGAGTAGTTGATATGATTGTAGGATATCATACAAAATATCAGAATATCATAAAACCCATAATAAGTAGGGACAGTAAGCATTTAAGTTCAAAATTAAGTGTATTTAAGAATAGATCAGGGAAACTATTTGATATTTCAACCTGCAAATGCAAAGGCATTAATGCGTGTAAATGTAATAAGTCGAGGAAAATACCTAAAAGAGAATTTAATTTTTTAATCGACCAACGAACTGATCGACAAATGGTTATTGGCCGCGCTGATAAACATTTATCCAAAAAATTTACAGAACAACAAAACAGAAAAGAAAATCAGGCAAGTAAAACAAGTATTAAAACAGATGAACCCGGTGCAAGCACTGGTGATTTGCAGAGACATACAAACATTCATCAAGATGAAATGAGTTTTTCGTCCAGCGAAAACACAGAGGAGATGGATGAAGAAAACGACGAAGAATTTAAATGGAGCTATGATCTATTAAAAAATCGCAAATTAAAAAAAAGTGAAGAAAATGTAGCTCAAATGAGAATCCCTTTAGTTCATACAGCTAAAGCTGCGGATTTAACTGGAATTTCAAATCGCTCTGCTGCAAAAATAGCAACGGCTGTTTTAGAAGACATGAAAATAGTGTGCAAGGAAAAAAGAGCAAAAGTTGTTGATAAGAATAAAATAAGAAGGGCATTATTTAAAAATAGAAATGAATTAAAAAACAAATGGAGTAGCAATAAAAAAAGTAAATGTCTTGAAGCTATATACTTTGATGGGCGTAAAGACCAAACCATTGTTGACTTAAACAGACATCGGAAGAAAAAACTAGAGGAGCATATATCATTAATTCAAGAACCAGGTAGTCAGTACTTTGGTCACATATCTCTTAATACATCTTCAAAGGCAACTGATATTGCAAGTAGCATATTATCTTTTATGAAACAAAATGACGTTGATCTAACAAATCTTAAGGTTATCGGTTGCGACGGTACCAATTGTAACACAGGCTGGAAAGGAGGTGTTATACGTCTTATGGAAACTCAGCTAGGTATAAATTAGTTAATTTACTCAATATAAACATTAATAACTTTTTTTATTTAGGTAAACCTTTGCAGTGGGCTGTATGCTACTTGCACGCTAACGAGCTTCCCTTAAGGCACCTCTTACAAAAACTAGACGGGCATACCAAAGGCCCATATCAATACTCAGGAGAAATTGGTTCTTTACTTGGAGATTGCGAGAAACGTCCAATTGTTTCATTTCAGAAAATTAAAACCAGTTTACCTGATATAAACTACAAAGACTTAAGCACAGATCAGCAGTATTTATATAGAATCTGCCAGGCTGTTTCAGATGGTGTCTGCCCCGCAAGTCTTGCAGAAACAAACCCAGGAAAGATGTCTCATTCTCGTTGGTTGACTTCCGCCAATCGTGTGCTAAGATTATATGTTTCAGTAAGTGAACCGTCTACCAACCTTAAACTACTTGCAGAATTTATTGTAAAAGTTTATTCAACAATGTGGTTTGTAACAAAGGCAAAACCATATTTACAATTTGGTGCTCGGCATTTATGGCAAACAATTTATCTTTCAAGACAATTTCCTGAAACTGTAAGAATAATTATTGACAAAGTTATTTTAAATAACGCATTTTATGCACATCCAGAAAATATTTTGATTGCGATGTTATCTGATGAGAGAAAGCATATAAGGGAACTAGGAGTACGGCGAATTTTGAAAGCTAGAAATGACAAACCAGAAGGTATTCGTGTTTTCAGAGTTCCGACATTAAACTTTAAGGCTCAAGACTATATTGATTTAATTAAATGGGCAGAATGTACTATTACAGAACCTCCTCTAACTATGGGACTAAGAGATGAAGAACTAAAAATATTTATAAATCAAGCAGACGAATTCGATATAAGGTTCGGCAAGTTTCCCTGTCACACGCAAGCGGTGGAAAGGTGTGTGAAGCTTGTAACAGAAGCTGCATTAAAAGTTTGCGGTGAAGAAACAAGAAATGGCTATATAGTAGCAAAATTAGATGCGCGGACATCTTTACCGGCCTATGACAACAAAGCTCAATATTATTCAAATAATAAAAAATAACTGGGTGGAAGGTAGCGGGTGGAACTCGATGAGCAACTATGCAATAAATTAATTTAGAGTTACGCAAAATGTTTTTTAAATTTAATAAAATCAAGCCAAGAGTTGCTATTTTTTTTTCATCAAAAGGCGTCTTAATAAAATAATAAAAAAAACTTAGACTGATACAGGCATTTGGTTTGTCTATGCAATAATACATGCGGTAACTTTTTGTTGCCATCGCAAATAAAATATATATAAAAAAATTTGGGCCCCCCAGGGCACCCTTAAATATTGGGCTAGAATGGCTATTTTTTTCGAAACATACTGTTAACATGAGGTTACTTGTTGTGGTTACCCCAATTAAAATATGAACAAAAAATATATTTTGGGCCTCCGGGGCACCCTTAAATTTTGGGCTAGTACGCTCATTTTTTTTTTTAGAATTACTGTTAATATAAGGTAACTTTTGTGGTTAACCCAATTAAAATATGATAAAAATAAATATTTTGGGCCCCCGGGGCACCCTTAAATATTGGGCTAGTACGCTCATTTTTTTTTCTAGAATTACTGTTAACATAAGGTAACTTTTTGTTCCCACCCCAGTCAAAACATACAAAAAAAATATTTTGGGCCCGCGGGGGACCCTTAAATAATGGGCTAGTACGCTACATTTTTTTCTAATAAATTACTTTTAACATAAGGTAACTTTTTATTGCTACCCAAAAATAAATATCTCAAATATATTTTTTTTTACGTTTTTCGGCCCACCCTAATGTATAGTCTTTTACGAAAAATAGGTACTCTTGCTTTGAATCGCTCAGATGCACTATTTTCGAGAAAATTGCATTTTAAAATACTATAGTATTTTAAAATGCAATATATGCTTGGCATAATTTCTCCATTTTCATTAAAAGGCTTTGGGACAAAAGTGACGTTTGGGTTATTTGCTGACTTTACATTTATTGTTATAGTTTATTTAACATTTTCTAGCTCGATTTTTGTTATTTTTTTATTATGGAGCGATTTTCCAAATTTTAGTACAAAATTTTAATGAAAATATGAGATGTGTATACATGCTATGCAGAGTAATTTATAAATGCATTTTTCTCGAAAATGGTGCAACTGAGCGATTCAAATCAAGAGTAGTTATTTTTCGTAAAAACTATAAGTTTTCCTAATTTCATAAAAAAAATTAAAATATTATCTCAGAAAAAAGTTGGGGCTATTTTTATAACTTTGTCCCCCCAAATGTTACGCCTATGATTAAATTTTAACAGTTTTGATCTTAGATCTGGATTCAGCATCTCAAAATTACCAAAGTACCAAAAGTTCATTTCTTCATGTTTAACACTCTAGGAATAGTTTAAAAAAACTATTCTCATAGGCTCCTATTCAGGGGGCCGTAAGTCCGTTAGGAGGCATTTTTTGATACATGTTTATTTAACACTATTTAAGTTTGGCCCCCTAATTTCGGGACACCCTGTATTATAAATTCTGACATCTGTTAAAAAGTTCCAACCTCACTTTTTACCAATTTAAAACCTAATTGGTTCAAATTACAGTGAATATTAAAATAAGCCAATCACTGATGCGGCATCAGTGATGCCTAACAACGTGAATAATGAGTTCATTATTCACGTTGTTAGGCGTTTCGGTTATATTGGTCAACATTATATACGAAGAAAACCCAAATAATGTCAATAATATGCTATAGGAGTAGAAAAATATTATTTCTACCATGAATACTAAAAAGTCGTCGCCCCAAGATTACATGGTTTTATGCTAACTGGATTTTTTAATGCTTGTAAAAAAACACAGTGTTGCCAGATCTAGTATATTTCGCTGCAAAGCGAGATCGGTTTACAAAGTATTTTATATGAAATAAAGTTAACATGACATTTCTAAAAAGTTATGACACTTTTTGTCAAATTATAATGTATGTATAAAAAAACAATTAATAATTTATGTGGCTCTGTACAAATAAGTATCTTTGTATTATATTCAAAATCTAGGTATGTTATTAACAAATCCTTTATTTGATTAATTATTTTACAATCTGTTTTTTCATTGCAAATATATATATATAACATCCAATCCCTATGACAATCCAGGGTTGCAACTTAAGAACTAAACATTCAACATAATTATCAACCAACAATGCAAGTATTCTTATAATACACTCCTTACTATTTATTAACAGGTATGCAAATATCCTTGTTAAGCTTATTGCCTACAATTAAAATGATTGGGCCGATCAGTTGATTAATGACTTTTGTAAGGTTTTATTTTTTAACACGCTTTTATATATAGGTACTAATAAATATTATTTAAGTAAGTTCTAATAATAAGTACAATTTTTAAAATTTTTATGGTCCACTTTAAAAAATTGATTTGGCAACGCTGTTTTATCATAATCTTAGTTTATATGTTAGTTCCTATGTTAAAAATTCTATCGTTTTTCTTATTGTAGTTTAAGAAATAGAGTTTAAACAAAAGAGCAAACGGCAAATAAACCGAATAATAAAAAAAAAATGTTGAAAATGTTATAAAAGTGTGTGAAATTGAATCAAAAATACTCACTAATGACAGTAACTGTTCATTGCCTTCAACCTCTTCTGGTGTTGTAACTAATCTAAGTGATAGAAGTCATTTAACAAAAGTTGTTACTAATAATTCTGATAGTGACAGTAGTAGTGAAGGTACCTCAAAAAATTTTGTTCCTATTTATGAAATAGAAGACAATTATGAATATGGTATTGGTGAAACCGAGGGTGAAACTGAGTGGGTTAATATTGCAGACAATAGTGATGACTCATTGAGCAGTGAATCTGATAATACTAAAAATAACTCTACCTATATTTTTTTTTTTAAATAATACTCAGGTCAATACAGATTCAAAAATTTTTCTGACTAGCTGGGCATTGGACAATAATATATCCCATAAAGCTTTAACTCAACTTTTAGGGTGGTTTTCTACAAGTCCTGATATTTCTAATTTACCGAGAGATGCCAGAACTCTTTTAAAAACCCTCAGAGAGTCTGCTGTCTAAACTATGGAGAATGGTTTGTTCTATTATATTGGTATTCGTTCTGGTCTAGAAAAACAGTTTGAGAAACATGGCCTAACTGAATATGACCTTATTTTTAATATTGATGGCCTCCCTATTCACAAAAGTTCAAAAAAAACTTTTTGGCCAATTTTATGCCGCATTCATAGCTTGCCTTTGGATGCATTATTTTGTGTGGCTATTTACTATGGCCCTGGAAAACCCCCTGTTCAGGAATACTTAAAAGAGTTTGTTGAAGAATTAAATACTTATTTAATAGAAGGCCTAGAGATTAAAGGAGTAATTGTCAGTGATAAAGTACTAGCATTTTGCTGTGACACACCTGCAAGGGCTTATATTAAATGTACTGTTGGACACAACCACTACAGTGGCTGTGATAAGTGTTGTGTGAGAGGATTTTATATGGATAGACGTATGACTTTTGTTGACAGCAAAGCCCCTTTAAGAACTGATGAAAGTTTTGCTACTCATCATTTTGAAGAGCACCATAAAAATGTCACCCCTTTAGCTAGTGTATTAAATTTGGGATTGGTTACTTCTTTTCCCAGTGATTACATGCATGCAGTGTGTTTGGGAGTGATGAAAAAACTTATTCATTTATGGAGGGATGGCAGCCGATTGTTTCGTATAACAACAGAGAAGAAAATTATTTTAAATGATAGGATTAATAACATTGCTAATAATTATTGGCCTTCAATAGAAAACCTAGATCCATTAGCGAACTTGAATATTGGAAATTAATTAATATTCTGCAAGCATTTCTCTTATCACCGCTTTTGTTTAATTTCGTTCGGATCTCATGCCAGCACCGACAGACGCGTTTCGTTCTGTGGAACTCATCAGTGCCGAGTTGCTATAGGCTTGAGACCCAAACGAAAACTTTAATTCCTTTCCTTATATTGGAAAGGAATAGTTCAAAAGCGGTGAGAAGAGAATTTGCCTGCACAATGGTGCCATCTACCGTTTTTCAACGCGGTCTTCTATATGTCATGACATTATCTGTACGGGACATATAGCGTGCTTTACGCCATCTATGACCTGAAAGATGTATAGCCCTCCCGGCTAGGTAATTTATTACAGTTTTCGTATT